GTAACAGAAGACAGTGCCGATGATCAGCATGTTGCAAAGAAATTACCTGTCAGACGAGCCAGGAAAGGGCTGAAGCGACTAAAAGGGAAGACAGGAAGTCGAGCCATGAACCCGAAAGTGGTGAAGTCAAGAGCCAACGCAGTGGTGACCTCTTTAGCGAGCGCAGGTCGCTCAGGCGAGAGCGGGCAGGGAGATACTACAACGCTGACAGGGGGAGAAAAAGAGAATCTGATACCCCCTATGCTCTTGGCAGGTCTGACCGTGACCGCCACAAGGTCGAAGAAGACGGCGCGAACCCTGGCAGACACCAAGTTAGAAATGGAAGTAATCAGTCAATGTGGATCTGGAGGACTTGAAGATTACAGGCCCTCGCGAATCAACATGGCCAAGTTGAAACTGGAAGGACAACTCGACGTGGTCGAGTACAGTCGAATAACTGTGCCGGAATCGGTCCACATGGGAGATCCGGCAGGGGGTTATGTGGAAATGTTGAAAGCGAGGAACTCCGCGAGAGGGCACCTGATGGCTTGGAACGAGAAGCGAGCCATGCAAGAATACTTGAAGGGGCTTACGGAGAACTCCAACTTCAATCGAAAAGAATATGGGACAGTAATGTCATCAGAAGCGAACGAAATTGGATTAGAAAAGTTGCTAGAGATTTCTTGGAGGGCGGCCCTCCAGAAATACTTTGATGAGACGATGAATGCACCTGCGACTGTAGCAGCATACCTGGCTCATCCTTGCGTGAGAACTGATCTGCAAGTACGACTGGCTTGGTGCTTGATGGGCATCAAAAGGGCGGAGTATGAAGCCAGCAACGACTCGAAATCACGAGAACAGGAGCTAGAATTGATGGAAGCTTTACGAACATTGATCTCAAAAGACGATTCAGCGATAGCATGGGCTAAACGGAAGGATGCCCTTTGCTTTGTCAGGTTTGTGGTGGATCGCATCCCCACTCCTGTGTTGGGAGAATGTGTAAAGATCATTCGGCAAGAGGGAGTTGATTGCGAAAGGTACTTCCTTAGGGCTCTCCTAGAGCTATATCAGGACATGCCATTGACCGTGCCAAACAAGGAGTCGGATGATATGGAAAGCTATCGCAAGTTGGAAGAAGTGAGAAGATACTCCAACAAAGAATTGAAAGTGAGTCGAGACTTGATTGAAGCGGTCAGAGGACGAAAAGAGTTTGCAACCCTAGGGAGACTGAAGTCGTTCCAATACGTGTCTGGCATACCAGGGATGGCGTATAATCCCTTCGTGAACGAAGAAGCCAGGGAAGCATACTTCGACTACGAGCAGGTCACAGTGCTCAACTTCTGGGTTGAACGAATTAAGGAGATCGGAATGCTGATGGTGGAACAACCCAAGCTGGGAATTATTTTGGAGGAACGAGTAGTCGAACCCTCGATTCCCGAGCTAAAAGGGCAAGTGAGTTTTGATTGTGGTTCTTGGGACGGTCCCTTGAAAACCAGTCTAGTGGTGATGTGGGAACTCATGAAGCCTTCCTGGTGTCCCCATCCTAACGCAGGCTTAATCTGGGACATGACCGCGGATGTCATATTGGAAAGGGATGATGATGCGAGTTTACATGATCTGGCCATGATACATCACCTGCTAAGCATGAGATTGATGAAGAAGAAGAGCAACCCGTCCACGGAGCTGTCCGAGGAAGGTACGTTGAGTGATTGGTTGGAGCAAGGCACATGCTTGGCTCAACACAGTGGGATGGAAGGACATGTTTGTAACGTGGGACACTGCCTGATTACGCTGAGCGAGCAGCATCGACAACTGGCACGATTGTATGGAAGATTAAGCATGTCAGATAAGAGTGCCATGGAATTGGTCGCAGACTGCCATGGGGTGACGGACGTAAACCTGATCACAGCCTTGGGATTTTGTAGCATGACGAGTTCGATAGAATCGCTCGAGCGCTTGGAGCGTGCCCATGAGCTAGTGGCGTCCCTCAGCGTGGAGATATTCCCTGGAGCATTACAGACAGAGCAAAAGATTGGAGGCTGGCGAGAAGCCCTAGAGAATGAAATGAATCTGAGGGATAGTGAAGCCTATCACAGACCTACTGGTTCAAAATATATGGTGGGTTCAAGCTCCGCGCCATACTGCAATAGCAAGTATCCTACGCACATGGTGGTGATGGATGCGAGGACGCAACAGGTGTTGGTTGACCAGCTTTTCTCTGTGCCAAAATGCGTGAGGTTGGCCAGAATGTCAGAGAGGTCATATGACTTGTTGGCAAAGATCTTTCGGGCAGTCCCGAAGAGATCCGAAGGCGAGTTGCAAGACGTTGTGGGTGAAGAGTTCATGATACTGAACGAAGGCAACGTGAGTGAGTTCCAGAAGCAGAAAGCGAGTGGAGCGTTACCCACTGAATTCCCCACCATAGAAGAGAAAGACGATCTACATAGAATCCTGATGGAAGTGGAACCGTTGCTGGGAGCCTCAGGGTATCGAACCCGAAGGAACATAGTGAGAACCCACGGGGAATATCCTTGCCACTGCTTAGCGCAGACGTTGTGGTACCCCAAACGCGGGAATCTGATCCTAGTATGGGATGTGGAGGAGTTGTACTCAACGGGGTTGCCCGATCAGAATCAACCAGTGTCAATCGTGGTGGTTAGCGCCATGCTAGCAGTGAGATGGTTGGAGGCTTATGCGGACACAAATGAGCAGGAGACGGCCGTGCCGACTCCTGAACAGCTGAGCAACGTGAAAATAAGTAGTGAATTGGATCTTTTCAGAACCACTTGCAAGGTTCTGAGAATACCTAAAGCCATTGAAAGAATATGGTCAAGGCAAAGATTGATGCCTTGGTTCCGTGCAGTGATGACATCTTGGATGTATGAACGCGCGAAGCGTCACATGTCAAGGAACACGGAAGCCTATCAATCTTTCCAGCTAGACATAGGACCAGGAGCCTATAAGAGAGCTTTCCTGACGCATAGAAACGCGGTCACCACTGCGGTGAAGCGAGTAGCTGGAGCGCCTTGTGTTACTGAAGATGAAAAGAAAGAGGTCTTAAGAGCTGACCTAGAACGAAACGTGAGCCTGTGTCTTCACAACAGCTTTTGCAGGAACCGGGAGCAGAAGGTGAATGTGGACTTACTACCTTGTTGCAAACCGAGGCTGTTGGAGCAGGAGGGTTGGGGCACGGCCCGCAACTCTCTGGACATGTTAGAGAAAGTTCTGGAAGACAGTGACGCTGAACATCAGGATGGAGAAATGATGGAATGAAGATGACGGAGGAAGAGAAGAGAAGGAGAAAAAACTTGATTGTCTTTGTGTGTAAAAACTTGAACAAATCAACCAAGTTTTGATTATTGAACTTGTGAAACTTTTTGTTTTGATTTAGTTTGGTCAGACCAAACTTTGAAAATTGTTGCAATTGTTAAAATTGTTGAAATTGTTGATTTTAGTTACTACTATCTATGTATGTATATAAGGAGCATAGGTGAGTATATTTACCTATTTATTCCCGACTGAAGTTTTTAACCTGTGTAAGACACAAATTCACTGTGTGGCGACATGGTAAGTTTGAGTAAACTCGCTCGAGAAGGGTGGGTAACTCAATAACTTTCCTAGCCACAGAGTTTCTTAGTTTTAATATTGAAAGGACCGCATAAATGACTAATTATACTTGGTGAGTGAAGTTAAGTTAATTTTAACGGGTGCGTGGCCGTGCCACGTCCCACTTTTTAATCAGAAGCGAAAAGAAGTTTTATGGCGAGATGACGTAAGTAGTCAGAAAAGAAATTTTATCTAGGACACTCCTCATGGTGCAAATTTTGTGAAAATGTTGAAAGGCAGTGAGATGTAGTACGATGCCATTTGTGAACACGTAGTGAGTTGAAGTGGAGTAGATAAATTTCATTTTCTTATGCGATTTGTAAGATTGGTTACAGAAAACTGGATACCTACTTGACGATAACCCGGTGTTGTGCGATCAATAGGGACATTGATGGAGACTTGTCCGGGGAGTATGTGCCATTCCGCCGGATGACACAGTATAACCTTCCCGCGACGGAAAGAAAAGTGACTAAAGGCCTTACGAACAGAAAAGTGTTGCGACGGAGGGTCAGAATGTTCTGGAATTTTTATTTTTAAAATTTCGATTTGAAGGAGAACATTTCTGAGAAATAGAAAAAAGACGGCCATTTTGAATAAAATAGAGAAAAATCAGAACGACGCCATATTTTGTGACGAACGGTTGTATCCGAGACGAGAAAATTACGGAGCCTCTTATCGTGGCAATAACACACGATAAGGACCTTAGTGACGGATATTTGTGGAGACGGAGGCTTCAGTGGGGGGAAGAGAAATACCACGGAACCCTCCCGGGACACGAAATATAGGAGATAAGAGTGTTATCTCAAGAAAATCACGGGAGCGGAGGCTTGGTCCCCCAGAGACTGTTATATGTGAAGGGACTGTGTGAACTAGCCATAACAGTTGCTGTAATGTCCTAGATCTGAATTAAACACCGTTATTATTTAATATTTCAGAGCATGAGTAGATAGAGAAAGGAAAAGGTCAATCCATCTCCAATGGATTTAATATAAAACTGTCACACAAAAACATATAGAAATAGGTGGTTCGAGCCGTGTTTTTAATGACAATCACGTAGTCTGAGGATCCGAGACTCAGCTATGTGGTTGTGTTCGCATGCAAACGAAAGCTGATCAAAAGTCGTTTGACTGATGGCCTAAAAATAGTAACTTTTTACTTTGCCCTAGACAGACCAGAAAATCAACTGGCAAGGTCGAGACGGTGAAAAACGAGTGGAATTAAGGTAACTGACGCCTGCCAGTCGTCAATAGGTACTTTTTCTACGCTCCGTCGCTGTGTGATATTTGGGCGAATGTTACAACGGCTAAGATAAATTAACATTATGACGATGCATTTAATGCTGATATATGATGAGAATGCGTTAAAATTGTAAATTCAAACAAACGTTTTCGCACATTTTTGTGCATTTTCAGGTTTTAAAGTTCTAAACTATCTGTACAAAATGATCAAAGATCTGCAGATAATGATCATAAAAAGTGTCATACACATCATTATTTCAAAATTTAAAAAATTCAACCAATCACAACTTTACAAATATTACTGAAATTATGTAACAACTATTATGTAACAATTTTAAACATTCAGTCACAAATTTCTGAGAATTTTCACTTTTTTTGTTTTTACCAATGATATGTGACTTCATTGATACAGTTTGCTGATATATATGCGTTTTTCTAACGCTGGTATGGCCCTATCCAGTTTGTGCACTGATCGTAACTAAACGGAAGGGCTCCTTTTGTAATTTACACTTTTACATTTTCTACAATAAATAGGAATACATCTCTCGCTGTTGTTGTAAGTTTTTGATGGGTAGATCTTTTTGTCGCTTAAGATCTAGGTACATCTGTGAAAAGTCCTCCCCAAGTGCTTCTTTAACAACATCATCGGCTTCGAACGCGTCCAGTGCTTCAAAAAGGGACCCGGGTAGATGTCGTTCTTTGTTGATACCAATAGGCTGAGGCTAAAACACATCGATTTTTACTACCGGTGGATCGAAATTTACTAACGGTGTATGCTATTTACCTTTCTCCATTTCTAATTGAGTGATAAAGCAGTTTTCGTTCAGTTTTATTTAACAGGGTTTAATTGATCCATTCTTATATAATGACATCATTACCCTCGCGACAGCAAGGGTGTTTCAATCGGGTACTACTTTTTTCCCGTAACTAACGTTGTTCACAGTATGGGCGAAATTAGTAAATTAAGAATCAATTCATGAATTCAAGTTTCTATGCTTCTCCGACTCTTTTGGTATGAAAAAAGTCCATTAAAATGGGCCCTTCTTTCATGCGACGGTACGTACACAGGTTGGATAGGGCCGTACCAACGCTATATAAATTCATCGGCAAAATTTTATAATTAAATCAAATCGATTTTATTGCATCCAGAGAATTTTCAATCAAAATTTAACATCCTCAATTATAGCACAGATAGAATTGTCTATGCTGGATGTATTTTAAGTTTTTTGCACCCCCTAAGGCAGAGGATTGCACTCCTCAGAAGTGGAAAGCTTATTTTTGTTCTTATAAAGTTTATTTTGTCCGAATATGATTCGTTCCGTTTTTCGCTCAGCTTCTCTGCTAGTTTCTGGATGGTTTTTTGTAGAGCCTGGTGCTGCTCCTCCGGTACACGCAAAAATAAATGGAACAAAGCTGCTGTGTCCCACATCCAGAATTCTTTGTTGGTATTTTATGTTTTGACACTCTCATGATATTTGTAGGGGTCAGATATAGTTATAGGGCAGGATTTAGCAGGGGGATCGAAAATTTTTACATCAAAAAAGGTTCGGCTGAATCGGCCTCCCCAGAGTCCTTTTGCATTGATGTCAAGTCGAGCGTCATCTTCAGTAGTTGTTGTTTCGTTGTGAAAGCTTTCGCCTTCCAACGATTGAAGTTTCTATTAGAAAAACAACTTTGATCAATGTTGAATTAGGAGTACTTTCGAGCTATCGCTCATCATCAGCATCTTAAAACACAAAAATATTGAGCTTGAAAAAAGCACCAAATCCAGTCAAATGAAGAAAAGAAAAAACAAACAAAAAATCTATTCTGAGGCGGAAAGTATCGCAAAGATGGTGAGGGGGCAAGATTGAAGTTTCGGCTCTATTTCAACATCATGGCATACTTCGTCCGGGAGTGTCGCAAAGGTATCGCGAATTTCATGTCTTAGGTGAGTGTATCCACCTTTGGACAGTATAGAGAGTGGGTCAGTGTGAACGGTTGTCCACATGTGTATGTATGTGGAGTGTTTGGTGGTTCCCATCCATATCTCAGATGTAATCCATCTTTAAACTCTGATTTGTTGAGGGAAAAATTGTATTTTTTCAAGGGTAGCACGCTTAGCCCATTCGATGCTCCTTTCTGTGACGCTAGATTTATTGTCAGTTTTTTTTGATGAGCAGTTTTTTCTGATGAGCCATAATTTTAGCTTTTTTTGAGAGTGTGATGTTCTGTCTCTCAGTTTTGATGTTTCTATTTATCAGAGTTTGTTCCGTTTCAGCTATTTCTGGATCACTGTTTTCTAACGGATCACAAATGGCTCGTGACCACTCATAATTTCTGGTAAAGTCCGTGTTACGGAGGAGGTCTAATCCTCCCATTTTTAGTTGTAGTGCAAAAAGGCTGCCATCTTCATCGGTTATTTGGTTTTTACCAGTAATACTAGAAAGTAGCTGCTGTCTTACGTTTTTCTCATTTTCTCAAATGCTTCCGAAGTTGATCTGGTTAGAAAGCTGAGTTTATTTTGAACTCCTTTTGTGTAGCAGGAGTGATGTTTTAACTATTTTGGAAAGCTTTTGTTAGGGTAGTTGTCTTTACAATTTCGCTTTCCATGTATTTATCGCATGCTGATGGTGTTCCTATAACCGATCCAAGGACTCTAAAACTGTCTACCATTGTATTATTTGCGCCTTCGATTACTTTTATGGCGCTTTCCCGACGGTTTTTCTTTACTATGAGTTGACTTTTGGAAGGCTTCACATTGTATCCGAAATCCTTTCCGTGCACATCCAGGTTGTCCAGTATTGCGCGGAGACTCTTAAGATCTGACGCCTGCAGCGCTTCCGTCATCTGCGTACCATTTTTGGGTGACATTTGGGTTTTGCAGGAGCTCAATCAGTGGGATTATCTCAATTCCGTACATAGCCATTGCGAGGGGATCACCTTGTTGTGCCTTGGGCAGATGTCAAAACCGTGTTATTGACATATAAATTTGAGGGATGTTTATTTGAGGTGGCCAGCGCATGATGTAGTGCGGACAAAGGATCTCTACATTTTTAGAGCAAGTTCTCTATTGAGCGAGTTGAAGGCATTTTCTGCATCAATAAGTAGGATGGCGTCCGTTTCTAGTTTCTCAAACTCGTTCCTCGAGCTGTGGATAGCATATTCGGTTCCACACTTCTGGCCTAAGCAGAGTTGATTTTTTTCCGAGATTTTTAAGATCTGATTTTATACATTGGGTGATTGTTTTGCCAATTATTCGTCTCAGAACCTCGCCTGTACCAATGGGCCGTACCCCTGGATTTTTGTCCAGAGGTATCAGGCGAAACGAGTTGTATGCCGTTAGGTTTTCATGGGGGAGAAATTTACTTACTACTATATAGGATAGCTTTGCAATTGTTTTGCAAAGCTCAATGGATGTCTGGTTGAAGTGAGTTAATATCCTTCTTCATTCGTACGCATCTAGACCTGATGGACCGTGGCTTCCGTGCGTTTTCAGGGTTGATTTTCGAAGTGTCTTTGCGTTTATTTGTTCGAATATATAGGGGTGGTATGGCATTGTGTCTTCATTTACTTCAGTTACATAGTTCACTGCTTTGGCTTGGGGGTGTTTTTCTTTCAGGATACTAAGGATTGTTTTTCCTTCAATAACTTCTTTTAGGGGAATTACTCCTTTTGTTTTCTTGTCTGAAAGGCAGCCGATGGCGGCAGATATTTTGCCTGTACTCATTAGAGTACCGAATTGCTTAATTTCTTCGTTTACTTCGCACTTTTTCTGTTTTGGATGTCTAATTTGGAGAGCTTTCGCTTCAGTGAAAAGTTCGTCTAGTAGGCCTTGCTTCCATAAAATTATGCGGCGGCTCAGAGTTTTGGAATTTGATCCTTTTGTTTCTGATTTAGTTTTGGGGAGCAGCAGATGTGGGAGAATCATTGCTACTTTCATTGCGATGTTAGAACAAAAGAAAGAATAGATTGTAGAGAAATGGAATTTAAAAACAAATAACAAAAAAGAAATGAAAGCGATTACAACCTGAGTTTTTACGGGTGGTGTTTCCAGCGGGGATGTCCGGGTAGAGGGGGAGTAACGCGGCTTGACAACCTTGTCTCTCAAAATTCCGTCCCGGGCCTTCTTACAAGCGTACCATTATTGGCGTACCATATCACATGAAACTATTTAGTAAGTTTATCGCAAGAGTTAGGCTCGAACCGGCAAAGGTACGCGCAAAGTTTATTGCAACAATATTCGAACCTGCAAAGGTCCTCGGTTCAAATATGACAGGACCTTTTTTTTTCAAACATGAGTTATTTCATTTCAAAACAATGTCAGCTTATTGTTTGTCTGTTTGTTTTGTCGGCTTAGTTACCACATCGTAGAATTGTTGTTTTTGTACAGAATTTACATTGTAGTTGCTTTCACTGTTTTGATTTACTTCTGATGTTGTAGTTTTACTAACCTTGACTTCTATGTTTTCTTTTTTTTCGCTTAAAAACTTTATTGTTCCCAAATGATTTCGGCTTGTATTTTGTCGGCTTATTGGCCTAATTTTGAATCGTTTTAATTTTGATGCTACAGGTTTCAGTTTTATATTAATTTTTTGTCGACTAATTAGTTTCGTCCCAATTTAGTTCATATTATCCTGGTTTTTATACACGCCTATTTTTTCTGTTAGAAAAGATTTATTTTTTGAAATTGACCCAAAATTGCTTCATTTTTTTCGCAGGTTTCGGAATTATTTTTTATCTAAAAATTCTTGAAATTAGTTTCAGTTTTGTTTTGAATGATTTGTTTAAGGACTGAGAAATTTGCTTCAAAATTCATTCAAGTCGATGGCTTAGGGTATTGTGTTCAATATGAAAAAAAAATCAAAAATCCAAAAAATTTTGTTGAAGTTGACTTGCCTGTCTACAAAGATATATGGCGTAGACTCAGAAGTGTGGTTCTCTTCGGCTGAAATTTAAGGAAAATTTTCGTGTTGATTTATATTTGTTTACGGACCTTTTTCTTTTTTATTGTTATTTTTTTTTCTTTGATCCAGCTCTCTTAACGGTGCATATCAAGTTCATATATGATAAGTTTAATGTAATTAGGTGATTTTTATCAAATTTTTGAATTTTATCAGATTTTCTGCAGATTCTTGTGGGAATCGCTTGAAACTTAAGCAATCATTTTTTTCTTTCATTTTGATCTTAGTTTATAGCAAGTTTTCCGGTTGATATTCAGAGCCAATTGGTCCCGTTGGATGTGCAGGTTGTTTGGTTGCAAGGTTTTAAGCAACGTTTTCGTGTTCATCAAGGAAGTTTTGCGCGTTCAGTCTAATGGTTGTGAGAAAGAAATGAAAGATAGTTTGGGTAGCCTGCATCATTCTGATGTATCAGGTAAATGATTTTTTCAGCTTACGATTTTTTCAACAGAATTCATTCAAGTTTTCGTTTTTTATTTGAGACAAAATAACTTCCGGTTTGTCTTTTCATTTCTAGGTAATCATAGTCATTCATATTTGTAACTCAAGTCATGCAAATCTCAGCTTCGCCTCACAGTATCCAAACTAACTCATTTCAAGTGTTATACTATTTAATTGTAGAAACAGATTGGGAGTGTTCGCGTGCAAAAAAAGTCGCGTCAAAGCTGAAAATTGTCCACTGCGCCTAGTCTGAAACCGGATATACTTGGAACAGTTTCTATAAATGAAACTTTTTTCATATGTCCTGTTGAATAAGAAATCACATGTTCTTATGTGGCAGC